TGGGGGGTGGCAGCCGTGCGCGCCCGAGCAGTGCTTGGCATAGATGAGCTCAACTTGAATGCTGGGCGGGGCGGGACTCGTAAAGCTCCCAAATGTATTGCCTTCCCCTGCCTTCGGGCTGCTCCAGTATAGATACAGCGCTTTATGCAAGCTGCCCATTCCCTTGGCACCACGGGGAGAAAAATGTTTGTTATCTGAGCCTGTTCCCGCTGTCCCCGGGGGCGTGGGACCACTCTGGGTCACACTGAGGGCTCCTGGAGCAGTCTTCTGAGCCGAGCCCTCAGCGACAGAAGGGCAGGAGCCCCAGTCTGGGAATTGAACTGCCACCCAGTTCATGCAAACTTGTGACCCTGGCAATTAGCTTAGCGTTTTAAGCGTTTAATTTCCCTGATTTTCTCTTCCTTGCTGGGCATGCACAGTTACGTGCTGTGGCTCTGATGTGCAGCAGCGGGTAGTATCTGCATCTCCAATGAAGTAAGGCACTGACAACTGAAGTGCGCAATGTATTAGCAAGTTGAAGCTAGGGTGCCAAAACTTGCAGCACCCCACATAAGCTATGTTTTTAACACCGTTTTTTCTGTATGTCTTCAAAAGACAAAATAATTATGCGTGGCATGTCTACTGGAAATACTGTGAAGCAAAACTCATTACTATTTATAATGCATTTATGAGTTATCAGTTGGAGGTGCCTTTAAAGTATGATTTTATTCTACACTCCTTAACACTGAGACAGTACTGGAAGAGGTTACCAAAGTATATGTGAATTATTAATCATACAGACTTTTTATATAAAGATTAGATGTTTTTCTATGATCCAGTTCAACTACAAGCTAGAGAGCCATAGCTCCACTGATGGTACCGGGAACTTCAGTCTTTTGCTGCTAACTTTGGTCTTATTACAGCACCTGCATTTATCCCTAAAATAACTCATGAGTCAGATTTTTGAAAAACCTCAGCATCTTCATGGGCACTAATGTTTAGGGCCAGTTTTCTAAGAGCTCTGCATACTGTGTGTGCATACAATATAGAAAGCTTTTCTGAAAAAAAAAAAACTAAAACAACCTCTCCAGCTGACTAAACAAGAATCCAGATTCTCCTGCCTTTAAATGCAATCCCTCGTGAGGGGCTGCGTTCAAACACTGTTACTGGGAGTGGGTCTTCACTACCTTGCTCATTGGGAAAATACGGCTGGCTTCACAAATCAGCTCCTATCATTTTCATTGCAGTTTCTCTAGGATTTCACAATTGCAAAGAGCCCCTTGGGCTTCTCTGCCTCCCGTGATACCGTGTTCTTGGCAGTGCTGTGGTGTGGGAAGAAGGCTGAGAGCAGGTAAGTGCATTTCTCCTGGGTGTGATAGGCCACGGGGCAATGAGTCAGTAGTGGGGAGAAGATCCAGGCATCCAGTCCTTGCTTTAGCCAGAGCCTGAGAGTTTGTGGAATTATTGGAAATGACCTTCCCTGCTTTTGAGAGTGTTCACTCTGAACTTGTGACATTAGTGGAAAGTTAACAGTATAAAAGTAATAAGCAAGAATCCAGTTCAAAGGGAAATTATATGGATTTTCTGAAGATTTGTGGGGGTTGATGCAAGCATGACATTGCATCTAATCAGTCTAAGCCTGTTCTGTCAGCAAGATTGCAAAGATTAGTGTCATATGTTTTCATCTCAGTCTCAATTATTTTTGCTTTAAATAATTTGAAATATATAAAAGATGTAGGTATCTATTTCCTGTCCAAAGAATATAATTTTTATATACAGTATCAGTGTTCAGGTGCACACAAACCCAGTCAAAAGCATGAAAGAGGAAGCTGAGGCTCCTCAGCTTAATCCTGGCTCTGAATCTTTGGTTACGTAATTTTGTGTTCTGTTATCTAAGATGTCCTGTAATATCCATCATACATTTTCACCAGTCCTATACAGAGTATGTTTAACAGCTTGCAATTTTCCTTCATTCTGCTACTTCTCACTTCCCATCAGCATGATTATTTGCTATCTTTATTACGTTTATGCGGTTAGTATTCCTGTCTCTTGCGAGTGGGCTGAATCCTCCATAAGTAGTCATGTAAATTACATGGAGGGGGGATCTGGCTCCTAGTACATTAATAGGAGAGAGTTGAGATGTCATCTTCAAGACCTACCCTCTGCAGAGGAAGGATGAGGTATAATTTCAACTAAGGCCATCCCAGGCTGTCCTCCTGTGTTCAGAAAAATGTCTGCACCACTGCAAGGCTCTGACTTGTTCCCCGGCTACCCTTTCCCTCACCACATACACAGTCCTGCCTCAAACACCCTGCAGGACCTCTAGAAAGACCTCGAAGCATATTCCCCCTTCTCTCTGCCTCTGGATTTGGAAAGAAAAAGCCCGTAAGTCATCTCAGTATGTGTTTCCACAGGCACCCAGGTGTGGACTCATCAGTTGGTGCCAGCTTATCTGCTCGTGCAGCAAGCATTAAATGTGCACAGTTCTTGTTCTTCCTTAGCATGCTACCAATGCCTTCCGTGGCCAAGTTAGGGCTAGTGATAACTCCGTCCATAAACAGTATCCACCTATGAAAAGTTTGATACCAGGAGCACAAAGTATTTTAGCTCCAAGTCACTATGAGGGAAATCAGTGTGCTCTTGGAGAAACCTAGATGTTCAAGTTGCCCATAGCTACACATAATTACGTGTACTGCAAGTGAGGGATATGTGGCACTTAACTACGAAGGTAACTTACCCAGCAGCCAGTCTGGAGAGGTTGCATGCATCGGCAGGTTTTCACCTGTTGTCTGTGAAAGAAACTATAGCTTTGACCGATCAGTTCTGACTCCATCGATATATTAGTATGAAATACTTCAAGGCCACCTCTGTATGTTTACCTAGCAATAAGAAAAAAGTGAAATAGTTTGGAAAGGTAGTAACTTGAGAAGCAAAATATACTCATGTATTTAAAGACAACAGCCCAAATTTTCAGTTCGTACAGAATCTGAGTTGCTCCATTCACTGCCAGTTTTCAGCAGTGAGGAGCTAGCCCTGAGGCACACCTTCTGAGAGCTCACAGAATACATAAGAAGCTTTTTTTAAACAATTTTTGATAACTTTCTTCTCTCTTTTGACTGTTGTGAAGCTGATGGCTTTTTTATTTCTCCGGAGGAGAAAAGACAAAAAATTACCATCTCTGGTAATTTGTATCATTACATTTCTAGTCTCCATGGAAACCTGTGTGGTGTTCCAGTCGGCTAACATTTCAATATGTTGCAGCAGAAATCAAATGGAGGGAAGACTGCGTTCTGCACCTTACCTGTTAATCAATTAAAAATTGTTTTAAAATTATTTTCACATTGTGTTACAGTCTTCACTTAAGAGTAACAATGGAAGAAATCGAAGTAATCAAATTAATCTCTTATGGCCTGATCCTACATACCTCTATGCACATAACTCTGCCACTCAGTTTGATTCTGATAGGCATTGACATAAATTTGGAAGAATTCTTTAGTTTTAGTATGATTATATGGATTAATACTGTGGACACTGAAAGCGTAATAGCAAACTGTTTGTCAAGTTGACTCTTATTAATAAAAGTTTAAAGCTTGCCAGAGAGGTAGTAACAATCTCCTTTTAATTTATGTCAGCAAAGCGTTTTGAAAATTAAGAACCTTAAATGTTCATTTTTCTCTGTCTTCACTCTTGCTCTTCCGCTACTCAAACCTGGTTTCCTCTGAAAAGGTAACGGTAACTTCATCTACCTGCCTCTTCAGGATTTCCTTTTTTTATTCCAAGCTTTATCAACTTGAACACAAAGGCACGTAATCTTACTGGGTCGGCAGAAGGTGATACAGAGAAGGAATATACAGAGAGAAAACAGTCTTTTTTTGTGACCACAGTCAACCCATGAAGAGTGAGTGCTCTCAGCCACCTACAAGTAAGTAAAGCATATAGTAATGGAAATAATGCAGCTTACTACCAACCCATAAATGCTCCTGCATAGACAGCCATGATAAAAAGGAACACAGAAATATACATTGATTAGAGAATTTCCTAAGCATTTTATATTTGGACAGTGAAACCCCAGTATTCCCTTTACACCTGCACTAAATCACAATGGTGAAATACAGTTGTGATTTATGCCATTCACTACAACCAAACTACAAAATCTGATAATTTTGTATGTGTTTTGAAGGTATTTACTGCATTTGTTTCAGAATACCACGGAGAAAATGTATGCTAGTCGAGAGGATATTGGGTATGATTTTGGAGATGACTCAAAAGTTGGAAGTAAACCAATTAATCCTAATCCAAACATCGATGGAGGATGGGCTTGGATGATTGTACTGTCCTCTTTCCTTGTGCACATACTTATCATGGGGTCCCAAATGGCCCTTGGAGTACTCAACATGGAATGGCTTGAAGAGTTTAATCAAAGTCGTGGCTTAACAGCGTGGGTTAGCTCCCTCAGCATGGGCATTACACTTATTGTAGGTATGTTCCAGCATAATTTATTTCAAAACTACGAAGATTTTTAGAATATGTTTGCCACTCATCCCTCAAGTATTTTCTTACAGTTTTCCATTTTATTAGCAGAACTGCCCAAGTTCTCCTGAGTTGCCTTTTTAAAGTCACCAGGACAAATTTTTAGAGGAGAAAGGGAGCAACAGGGAAGATGGTAAAGACGACCATTACTCCAGGAGACAGCATGAGCAGGACAGGATGCCTGTGACTTAAAGGTCTCCCTAGAATTAAGAAAACAGATCATCTGCAAAGCTTGTGGTCCTCCCCATATTCTGTCTGGGAGGATAAACTGTTGAATTTGGACAGTCTATATTTCAGTTTGGCAGCTGAACTAAAACTTACTTTTTAAGTTGTGGTTAGATCAACTCAAAATAATACCTGGAGGGGTATGTTTGTGTATATATGTATATACACACCTCTGCCTCCCTAAATTAAGATTGAAAAAGTTGTGTTTAGGTCTGCCTAAAATATTCCACTGAAAACAAAAGAAAATGTTTACTTTCTAGTTACTTGTGAAAAAGGCCTGCACTCACACAGCATTCGTATTGGGAACAATGGTTTCAGTTTCTTCCTCTGTTTAAACTGTCCCTCATCATGGGGCAACTTTGATTTTAGGACCTGCAGGTATTTACTAAGTATTTGGTCGGTTGAATTTTTCTTGTCACAATTTTAAAGAGTAATAGGGAAAATATAAACTGAATTGCGTAAGTAGCCTGATGTTTAACATTTTTTTTAAAATGTCAAGAATCTTCATGTGAAAAATTCTTAAAGAGTGTAGAGGATTAAATAAATAATATAACATTTTTTCATGTTTTTTAACAGGTCCTTTCATTGGTTTATTCATCAGCATGTGTGGGTGCCGCAAGACAGCTATAATTGGAGGGATATTGAATGCCCTAGGCTGGATACTGAGTGCCTATGCCTCAAATGTGCACTACCTCTTTCTTACATTTGGAGTGACAGCCGGTAAGCTGTACTAATGTTTGAAAGTTCTTTCAATTATTTTTGATTCCTTTGAAGGTTATCTGGGTGAGTAAAGCGGGAAGTTAGACTGTAAAGTTATTCCAGCTTTTCTTTCACACTCTTTACAGCCTGTTATCTTTTCTGAAAACTTATTTATTTACTCAGTGGATTGAACCCAGTGACTTTTCTCGTCATTTAAGATGGTATTTTTATCAGTTTCTCCCAAGTGAATATATTAGAGGACACTTTAAATTAGAAGCATTAATGTAACCCAAACTCTAGCAAGTGGAATTTAAAGATGTTAAAACACCATTGAATTATATGTCTAGCTAGCTCCTCTCTTTGTCACAGGAAGAAACAGCAAATGTTTTCTACAGGAGCTGCTCTCTGTTAATAAAATACCAGATTATGATAACTGTACTGCTTCAAAACCCATTTCAAAGGGTTTTGTGGGTTACTGCTGGTAGGCAGCTAAGCCTCACACAGCTGCTCACTCACTTTCCCACCATGGGATGGGGGAGAGAATCAGAAGGGTAAAAGTGAGATAAAGACAGTTTAATAAGTAAAGCAAAAGCTGCATGCACAAGCAAAGCAAAATAAGGAATGCATTCACTGCTTCCCACAGGCAGGCAGGTGCTCAACCATCCCCAGGACAGCAGGGCTCCATCACATGTAACGTTGACTTGGGAGGACAAATGCCGCAATCCCAATGTCCCCCCTTATTCCTTCTTTCCCGCAGTTTTCTGAGCATGACATCTTACGGTGTGGGATATCCCTTCGGTCAGTTGGGGTCAGCTGTCTCGGCTGTGCCCCTTCCCAACTTCTCATGCACCCCCAGACCACTGACAGGGCTGTGTGAGAAACAGAAAAGGCCTTGATGCTGTGTAAGTACTGACCAGCAACAGCTAAAATATCCCTGTGTTACCAACAGTGTTTGGGTCACAAACGTGAGCTACTGTGAAGAAAATTAACTACCCCAGCCTGAATTAGGACAATGCATGTGACCATATTTCATATAGTTTCTAGTAAAGGCTATTCAGGTTACATCAACAACCACTAATAAAAAGCAATTAATTTTGCTACTTTTTTTTTACAATCAAAATGACTGAAAGAAGTAATATTTTGTCATTTTTTATTGGAATTAGGTCTCTAGAAAACTTCTTGACATGTGTAAGAGCCCAATCAAAATATGAAAAAGCATGTGTGCTTGGGCATCTTGAAAACCAGTAGATCCTTGGTGCCTGAATGCTCAGTTTCTAGAAATTGTGGCTTCTTGTGAAAAAATGTAGTAACTTTAAGAAAGTTATGTAGAAGAACCCAGTATTATCTACTTGAAGCACTACTCAATTTTGTTCACTGTTCATTTCTGGAAAGAGAAACTGTTAATACATATGGAATAAAAATAAGTGATCCAAGTGAGAAATACGAAATTTGGCCTTTATTATCTGAGCAACACTGAGCAATTCAGGGGGCTTTGAAATGTTATTCACTCCATGGATATCATGGCCAGTTATGTTTGCAAATGAAGCATGGTGTCTATGTTATACATGACAGACAGAAGCATTATGAAAAAAATTGTTTGCAATACTAATAATAGGTTCACTACCCTCCATTCACGTCCTTTCACAGAATTTCACAGAAATCTGCAGAATTTCTGTACATAATTTTTTATCTAGCTCTCTGGCTGGAAGAAAATTGAAACCAGCAAGGATCACTGTGATGACTCGTTATACCACCATACCATAGATTTCAGTAATGTTGTGAATTTCTGAACAAAGAACAATAATTACAGGCAGAGTTCTGCCCTTTTCGGAATTTCTGTTTCCATATGTATTGTCCTTTCTCTTTTTCAGGAAGAATGTACTGAAAATACCAGACAAAAAGGCAGAAATTATACTGAGAATTTAAAGAGGGCTGAAATCCATATTTTCAGAAAAAATCTGAGGCAAATTTTTAGATGAGGTGGAGAAGAGATGCTGTTGCAGGAGTAATTCTGGACAGGAAACCATTGTAGAGATGCCTGAGATGTTTCCCCCAGCATCATGAGACCTCCATTCACCATCCCCTCACTCACTCTCCCCTCACTCACTGTCCTCTCACCATTCCCTCACTCACCCGTTGCCTCAGTCCCCGTCCCCTCACTCAGGATCTCCTCACTCACCCATCGTCTCAGTCCCCATCTCTTCACTCCCATCCCCTTGCTCACGCTCACCTCACTCACCACCACCTCAGGGAAGTTTCTTTCTTGTTCTCGTGGCCGCTCGATGTAAGACCGCTAGTCACTCGTGGTGGCCGCCTTCTGCTGTGATCACTTCTGGGCCTCCATGCAGTCCTCGCGGGCCTACTCGTGGCTCCTGTTGTCCCTGTTGGTGACCTGCCATGCCAGATGCCCTTGTGCAGTCCCCTCAATCCAAATCTTGTCCCCCAGAGCCCCATGCAGAGGGAGAGCAGATCTGGCCCTGCCGCTGCTGTCATGGTGCAGGGTGACAAATCTGCGAGGAAATGGAGTGGAGAGGCCTGTGGCCCTGCATTTACCTGTGAAGGTGCTGTGCCTTGGCATGTGATTAGACTACGTTTTGCTATGTAGCTCACAGAATGAAAAGATAAGATAAAACAATTTTTAAATTTTAAAATGTCTTGTTTCTTGGGATGCGTGGTGAAGCGCGGTGAACTCTTAACACAGGTACAAGCCCAGGCTGTTTTATTACAGCAGTCAATGACAGGCTGGTCCGACAAGGCAAGGAGTCTCGTGCGAGGCAGAGAGATTTCCTTAGAGTTTGTGGCTGGGTTTGGGGAGGGAGACCTTGTGCAAAATAGAAACCTGATCATGTGTTTGCATAGCAAAAAAATAAATACTTCTATACAGGCAAAACAAGTCAGCCCTGACCACAGTACGCTGCCGTGATGTTGAGGTGCTTTTTTTCAGGCTATAGCTAGATCACACTGTAGCTGCACGCAGCTACGCTATCAGCTATTTAGGAAAACTTTTAGGCCCAGAACACTCTTCTGAATTACGATCACAGTGAATTTGGAAGCATCTTCTGCATACACCTATTCCAGTCCAAATCCCCTCTTTCAGGAATTTGCTGTGAGAAAAACTGGGCAACTGTTACCTTTAATGATGTGTTTGCACAACTCTCAACACTTTCTGCTTGAAATAGGTACCATTAATACCCTGTTTTTTTTCACTACAAGTGAGGGAATTCCTACAAAATTAGAGATCTGCCTTTTAAGAACATGCCTGTGCAGCTACCATGTGGCCCTCCCTGGACTTCCCTGGAGTGCCCAAAGAGAAATCTGGAAGCCACGCAAGGCCCTACCACCGGGCTAACCCCCGGTGCTGACTCCTGAAATGTATTTCACGGTCGCTGTGGCTCCACAGTTCCAAAGCAATGACAAAAACTCAGTCTGGATCTTCATTGCTGGTGAACTTAGGCAAAAGCAACAAGATGTGCCCACCAAGCAATTTCTGGTAGCTGATACAATCAGATGCAAGTGTAACAAAGGCAGATGTTTCAAAATAGGATTTGCTTATGTTTGTCCCTACATTAACCGTCACTGGTTTATTGTGGGATGTTTGGGGTTTTCCAGTGGTGTCACGCTGAACTGACGTAAAGGTTTTATCTTCCATGCGTTTCACTTTTTCCTGCAGTTAAATAGCAGCATTGTATTCTCACTGCAATGAGTATTGCAAATTTTGGAAGACAGAAATGAAAGTTAACATGAGAACTGAATATTTATTCTTGGTTTTGCTACTATGCTTGTGTAAAAGTAAGGAAAAGAACGGATGCATTTTTCAGTGCTTTTTACCTTGTTGTTAAAAAGTTCAGGTTGACTTGGGTTTTTATTTTCATAGGCGTTGGAAGTGGCATGGTTTATCTGCCTGCGGTGGTCATGGTGGGGCAGTATTTTCAGAAGAGAAGAGCACTTGCACAGGGACTCAGTACCACCGGAACAGGGTTTGGAGCTTTCCTAATGACTGCCTTACTGAAGTACCTCTGCACCGAATTTGGGTGGAGGAACGCTATGTTCATCCAGGGCGCCATCTCCCTGAACCTTTGTGTCTGTGGGGCACTTATGAGACCACTCTCTCCCAAAGACGTTAGTGAAAAATATGTTGTGAGAAGTAATAGTGAAGATAATCAGGCAAAAGGCCTGTCCCATTCTGCAGAGACTATAAAATCTAATGGAGTCCTCAGTGAAGAACCGGACAAAAAAGAAGAGACAACAAATGAAGAAGTCCTTGACTGTGTTCAGCACATAGAAATTGGAGCGAAATCTAGAAGTGGACGGAATATGTATGGACTGCGCATTCTTAAGACAGTGAGCCAGCTGACGGTTACAGTCAGGAAGGGCTTTGCAGTGTGGTACTCCAGCTACTTTGGGGCTGCATCACTGTTTACCAATAGAGTATTTGTGGCCTTTATAATTTGGGCTTTGTTTGCCTATAGCAGCTTTGTCATTCCCTTTATTCATCTTCCAGAAATAGTCAAGCAGTACAACTTATCTAGTCAGGACAATATATTCCCTTTGACATCCATTATAGCCATTGTTCATATTTTTGGTAAAGTGATCCTTGGAATCATCTCTGATCTCCCGTGCATCAGCACGTGGAATGTCTTCCTCATGGCTAACTTTACCCTGGTCACCTGCATCCTTACTTTGCCACTAATGCAAACATACATTGGCCTGGCTGTGGTTTGTGCTCTAATAGGATTTTCTAGCGGCTATTTTTCTCTAATGCCTGTTGTGACTGAAGATTTAGTTGGAACTAAACACCTTGCGAATGCCTATGGCATCATCATTTGTGCCAATGGAATATCTGCATTGCTTGGACCACCCTTTGCAGGTAAAAAGTTCAAATCTTTAACCAACAATTGTTTGTATAATAACCACGTGACTTACTGTATTATTAAGATTTCTTATGTTCTGAGCACGTGTAGTTAATGAAATTACAGCTGCTCCAGAATGGACCATAACATCCAGCTTTACGTTGTACAAATTTACAGATCACATCTGCTGGGTACCAGCTCACTATCCACACACTACAAATTACCATCCTTGCAAATAACCCCGAATCTATTGCAAGCTATCCTTTCAGTGGTATGTTTTCTTAAAATATTATCATATACTTTCTTAAAATTGAAAGGTTTAACCTACTTTTATGTGGTTTGTGTAGTATATGCACTATACATACTCATGCCTCTAGATGAAAAAATGAGGAATAGTTTTCAGGGTAGGCAGGTGTTTGTACCATAGTAGTACCCCACAGAACTATGACATGTGTTTGGGTGTCACCACTCTAAGCTGCCAGTGGATGTGTTGATTTAACTAATTTAGCCTTCCTTCAGCCAGAAATATCTACTCTGGGGACTGCGCTGCTCATCATCTCTTTACTGCCATCCGCTGCAGAAGGTAGAAGTGTATGTATGTTATCCCTAAAGTTACTGAGGTTTAAAGAAACATTTGTTGTACGTTTTCTCATAGGAAGAGGCAGGGAAGTACAGGAGAGATACAAGTACTGATTGTCAATACCGTGGCCAGACTATGGCTATAATTTACACATCAGTAAGAAAGCTTGTGAGTAACAGCTGTGGTCAGCCAGGGGGGGCACTAGGCTGAACTGAAGCTATTAGCAGCACAAGCAACCCAGAAAAGCAAGAATGCTCTCACCTTCTCTCCCCACCATTCAGTGAGCGGACACAGTTTAGAAGAAAGCTCACCTAATTTAGCCCTTTGAAAAGCAGCTGTGTTTTACTCCACCATATATTCTTCCAGCACCTCTCAGTCTGTGCTGAAATGTGTTTGTACTTGGTCATTAGTAACAAAGCAAATAGGATGAATTAGTTGATGTAAAAAAAGCTTCTGATCTTGAGGTTACATCGCAATGCAGCCAGCATGATATGAGGGAATTTTGCTATTTTGGGTTCTCAAACCTTTCTGAAATAACTTTAACAAAGTATTTTTACAAAGGAATTAAGGTTGGAATGAGAGTCATTGCAGTACTGAGATTATATCTCTTGAAAAGTCTTTTATCAGTATCTGAGTCTTTGAGCAAGCTAGTGGGAGTGTGTTTGCTTGCACAAGGCACAGCATTTGAACAAGCCTGCAGTATCGGGCATTTTACAAAGAAAATAGTAGGGTGGGAGAACAAATTGGCTTGGGATTCCAAAATGTCTGGTCTAAAAGTCAGACCTGTGATAACTTATTTGAAAAATGTAGTTTTAGAGAGAAAGTTGCTTGGCTTCTTAGGATGGCACATAGCTACAGTCCCATTGTAAGACTTCCATGATACTTAACTGAGGGGGTAGGTTTTGCACTAGTTTTGGATTTCAGTGAATGAACAATAGAGTTTGTGAATACATTTCCATTTGTAGCATCTAGAGGAGGAGACAATTACCACCTCTTTTTTCCACAAAACATCTATGGATTTGACTGAAACATCATAGGAGAAATGTGCAGTATTTTTCATATTTTCCCATGGAATGTACCTTGTTGTCAAGCTCTGTAACAAACGTGTTTTGTCCTTATTTTGCAGGTTGGATCTATGACATCACACATAAATACGATTTTTCTTTTTACATATCTGGCTTGCTGTACATGGTGGGAATAATATTTTTACTTATACAACCTTGTATTCAAAAGAAACAACCAAGAGAAAAATCTTCGGAAGAGGCACAAGCATAGAACAAACTCCAGAAGTTTTTTTTACAGAATTCTTTTGTTTTCATGTTTCTATTGTATGACAGTATGAAGCTGTTTTTCTTATGGAACCAATGACATTGAGCTGTACTTAAGTGAAAAGCAAATGTGCTCCAAAATGCTAATAAATTATTAGAGATATGCTTTTAAAATGAGTTAAGATCTTTAGAATGAACAAACACAGAGATTAAAAGCACCCTGCCAGTCTTTTAAAATTGGAACAACGCTAGGAGCCTTTATCCTCACCTCTCTTTTAACTTTTCACCGCTAACCATTGGTGAAACTCCACTGACTGCAGTGCAGTTACTCCTGATTTACACTAGTCCTAGAGGAGAATTTGATCAGGATATGAATGATTTATTAAAGTCCTTCCTACTACGTATTCTGTTTGATAAAAGATTAGTTACTGAGTATGAGAAAATGATTGTATTTCTTACCTGGCTAGTCAGGTACTGTTGAAATGCTAGTTCAGTAATTCAATTAATTCACTGTATTAAAATTACTATTTCTGTGACGCAAAACTGAAGAAAAGTTGTTCTATTTTTCTGAAATTACTCTCTACTTCAAGGATTTTTTTATTTTTTTAAAATATATCAACTGCATAATAACGTAGCCATTCTCTATACATAGGCTGCATTATAAATGCTGTGACACTTAATGCACCTCAAGTAAGACAAACATAAAAGCAAAAACAGGCAACATAGGGAAAATACTGATATTCACAAAGTGGAAAATATTTCCAGAAACAGTTTGAAGTTTCTGGCTGCTTTACCTAATTAGAAGTATTGTAGAACTTCGTAACGTTGCCATTGACTCCTTCCATGGGACTTGTTTGTCAAGTAAACAGTACTAAAGAAACAGTGTTGGGCAAAATTGGCCAAATACAGTTTTAGAAAGAACTGGACTCCAGCACACTAAACTTTGTTGCAATTAATGTAATGGCAAAACCTGTTACATTATGATCAGTGGTATTGCTACACATAACTTAGAGCATGAACTGTCTAAGACTGGTCACGTTTGAGATGTTTATTCAGTAGAAAATTAGGTAATGCAAAGCATGGAAGAGCTAAAGACCATTTAAAATATTCAAATAAATTTTCTTAAGCCACATGAAGCGCCTGGTAATCAATGCGGAATGTATGGTGGTACAAGACATACTTTTTTCAGCTTTGAGAGGTGAGTCTGATGTTAATTTTCCTATATCAAATAAAAGTCACTGTATGGTTTTTTCCCTGCTAGCTTTATTAAAGTTTTTTCATGACAAATCAGGTTCTTAGTTTAACACTGATACATGCTGCTGGCATTCTTTAAAAACAATTGATACTATTCAATTAATATTGAACAAATACTGGGAAATAGTTCAGTATGCAACAATATCATTATGTAGATCTTTTTTATAGCTGCAAGGTTGGTTAAAAAAAAAAGTTCTGATCCTCAACTTGTATTGTTCTATATTGCAATTCACCGACTTCTTAGTTTCACACTTCTACAACTGTTGGCAGGGACATACTTGAAAATAGATCACTGAAGTGAGCCAAGTTAAAAAAGAAAACCCCAGACTACTTTAGGATTTAGATCAGTTCATTCATATAGGATAGTTATGCACGGCCTTTAAAATCTGTATTAAACAACTGAGGTGGCAGTGAACTGCAAGACATGGTGTGAACACATGGTCAGTAATTTCTTAAAATCAGCTTCTTTTGTTCTAGAAAAATGTTCATGTAAACTACACTTTCACATCAGTTCTTTTGTTAGAGGTTTAATATCTTCTTGGCGTGAATGCTGCTGCTAGCTTATTTTAACTGAGCTGTCTCTTACTGGTGAAATATCTATATATTGAAGGGGCATAAATATTTATTCAGTAGTGTTAAACTGAATAACTCTGAACTTTATTACTTTCTTCTCTAGCTGAAAAGAACAGTTTTACAGAGATAATGTGAGCTATATATTTATCGCCTCTTAAATCCATAATCAAATTGAATATATCAGAAGGAATTAGATTGTTCACTCAGTTAGCCTTATTGCAGCCTTGAAATGTACTCCAGGTACTGGGGACACTAACTTAATATTTAGTTTAAAATTAACACTTTTGTACTTTAAGCTTGTTGAATATCTTCTTAGTGAGAATAAATTAAAATAAGAAATTTTCCTTTCCATTAAACCAGCAGTGCAATTACTTCTTTCAGATATGATACAAATGTATCTTATGAGATTTTATAAAGTATTACTTTTAATTTTTACTAAAACTTTAATCAATTTTTTGTTACAGACAGTGCAACACTGCCTTTCGAATTCATGTCATGGTGTGAGCTACACAGGGTTGCTTATAGGGGAACAGCCAACTCTCTCTTGGTAGGATGCAGAAGGAAAGCAGCTAGCAGTTAGTAAGTAGTAATATCTGTGTATAGTCTCAAGTCAAAGCAGCTTACCTATAAATTAGGGTTTCAGACAAAAATTGTAAAAACCCCACAAATTCTCCATTTCACTTTTGAAATCTAAGTATGGGTTCCTGTGCCACTTAAATGCTTTAAAATTTTAATATTATATAAACCCCAAATTGTTTTCAGTATTAGGGATCTAAGCAAACAGAATATACTTTTATTACTATTTTTAAAGCAGCAGAATATATAGAACTCTTCAAGCTTCTGGAGAGGTTCTCTCCTGTTCATACTCTTTCAGCCTTAAAAGAATTGGTTAAATGTTTACAAGTGTTTATAATGTTGACAAAATTTTGTTGATTTCCATGTCAAAAGGAATAACGTTTTGAAAAGGTGTCAAACAACTTTTAAGTAGCCCTATGACTGTCAGGCTCAAGATCACACAATGTGTTTACTCAAAGCATTTCTAAAATGATGATTTCCCTCAATTTCCTTTTTTTTTTTTTCTTTTTGAAAGATACGTACCCTTTATACTTAGATCTTCACTTCGTCTTTTGTCAAAGTCAACTTTATTTGCATATTACTGTAATGAATAATATGTTGTTCACTTATGATATCTGCAATATATCTTTCTATAGAAGTCCTTACTGGGCCATGTGATGGGAATAAACTTACATTACCCCAAATTTCACTTTCTGTTCATTTACTAATTCATTTTTTTAAGCTTAAGAATGAAGATTCTCCTGCAAAATTATTGTTCTTACTTCTCGGAACAGAAGGGACAGGTACATGGTTGATCAAGGAGAAGGGCAGGGGGGCTGAAAAAATTGAGTTAAATTAGGATTTTAAGTTAATATTCGCTCAGTCCGTATTGGCTAGCGTGGGTTCTAGTTTCCTAACCTGAAACTGGCTAAATCTGTTATGAGAGCACAAACGAAGAAAAAAATTCATTGGTGGTAAATAGACAGAAAGTGAGAAAAGAGGGTTTGTTGTTTAGTAGCCCTGCTCACATACTGTAGTTCTTAAAATCATCTCTCTAAAGCAAAATTAGATTTTACAGTGTTTTATTACACAGAACAGAAATTTTATGAATATAGTATTTTATGCACATGGTGAAATTTTTGTCATTGTCCAAAGAGGAAACAGTCACAAAGAGGAAAGAATATATGGAAGCGTTTCTTCATCTAAAGATTCACAATCACCAAATGCTTCAAGAACATTGGTATATAGTTGTAGAACAAAATATTCTTAATCTAAATTAGCAAATACCTTTTGAGAATTAAAATACTGCTTTATAAAGAAATAGCATGATATAAGAACCCTGTATTCATAGCTTTTAATCAATCTATAAAATTCAAGTTTAATAGTTGACGTTAAAAAATTGGAAACCTAATACATGCTTCAAATATTACACTATTATATCCAAATACTGCAACCACTGGTTTTAATACTCGGGTCTTAAGTCTGGTCGATGGCATCAACTGGTACTTTCTGAGTAATAATATGTGTTCTCTTAATTACTGAAGTTAATTGTTGGAGTAAGTCAGTAATGCCAGTAAGAACTGCCTTCATTTTACAACACTCTTCAGTAACCACTGCTACAGTCTTTTAAGACAGCAGATGTCTCTTCGCAAATATGCAGCTCGAACAATGGAAGTCAATTACTTTCAGAAGGTCCCGCACCAGCAACATCACGGAAAAGTCTTGCCCACCTGCCATTCTGGCGGAGTGCCCCAAACATGATTTTGGTGGATTGTCCGAGATGAGGACGATCATTTGATCCACATCCTCAGTCACCAAAGAAGTTTCTTCTTGGTGACAAAATTATTACTTGCTTGAGGCTTAGATAATTAATTTTAAAACATTTTAACACACATCAAACTCTGGAACCAGCTACATGTGACTTGCCTGTAAACACTGCTGATTTACCGTGGTGGACAGTAAAAACCTTAGCATTCATAAGCAATGATAGATGGTTTGCTATAAAGGTAGTGATGACAATGCCACAGCATCCGAGAGAAGCCACAGAGTGTGTATAGCATATATACAGAATGGAGAAGTCAGAACGAAGAAGTACAAAGAAGCCACAACCTCTTCTGTGGCTAGTAACTGTTAGGATGCTGACCGCAATACAATTTCAGGATGCCCAACATACTAAACTCTGTATTATTTACATGTTTCTCCGAGTAAGACATATTTTGTTTTTCCTCTTTCAATCCTTAAAATAATCTGCTTTCTCTCATAAAGCAGAAAAGTCAGCATGTCTGACCTGATAAACAGCAAATCCGCACCTTATAACAACTGCTTCGATGAAAAATGCACCTTTATTCTGTTAAGTTTTTTGCTCCAAGCATCTTGTTCTGCCTTCTCCTTCGGAGCTGCAGCTGTAGCGGAATTCTGTTTGTGAAGAAGAATTGTTTCCAGCCCATTTCCTGTGCAAGTTCTTTCATTTCAGGTGTAATTGTGTCACACAAGTTCTCCACAATATTTTCCCATAGTGCATTACTGTTACATATCTAGTTGTAAGAGAAAGTAGACACTTAAAATCATAATTGGGCTTACTCACTGATTATTTTACTACACAAAATGTGTTTAGACAACACAGACCCCTTGTATGAAGGTCACCTGCAGTGCAAGCTGCCCACCTATCTTGAAACATGCAGTATTAGTCAAAACTTACAATGACATCAGAGGAAGTTTTGCCCAGTGTTGCCAATGCAAGATATTGCATGTTCTTCTGTGAAAAATTTGAGAAGTTTTATTTGGTATGATATCAAAGGCCTTTCTGCCACACTAAAACCAGCCACGTACTTTCCTGGTATGTCAGTCATACGGTCCTGCCGAAATCGATGAAGCTGTGGAAGATTATGCCAAATAATTTGCCGAGATGTAGAAACCATATCACAAATACTGATCTGTTTTCGAGGTAAGTAAAAGCAGCAAATGGCCTTTGGACTTACAACAGAAATGTGATTTTAGGAAGCTTTCAGAAGCACTGTAGGGATTGAGCCTCCTGTTTCTCAGGAGATGCTTCCCTCTTTCAGAGTGACTCCATAAACAGAATCAGGTGGAAATATAAACAGGAAGAAAAATTTATGTAATTTGTTAGATGACAGAACCATTATAGAAAAAAGAACTAGGAAGACACGCTGTGTCATTTTATATTATCTGCCCATTCTAAGTTACACATTGATCCCAAACGCTCCCTGCTCTAAACGTGTCATTGCAGGGACCCGAGTGGGGCTGTACCAGATTACTCCAGTGCAAGTGGTTGGTATGGCTGTCACCAGCAGTAACAGAAATAGAAAAACAAAAGTCCTGGAATTACTTCTGTTGCATACTGCTGACGTAGCTGGATGCCTTAAACTATTTAATTCACTGACCACAGCAAAGCTGGATCAGAGTACGTGCGGTCCCATTTCTGTTGTTCTTTAATGGGGAGAGTGATCGTACCACAGGCACACGCACGTTGGCATATTTTAGCGAAGAGAAAGCAGGGATTATTGGGGGGGGGTGGGAATTGCTATAGAATTCCTGAAATGAAAATATATGCATTTTTATATTTTCTTTAAATTTCTGCTTGCTCTCTGTCTCTAACCATTCAGCCATTCCTATGAAAAATGGACAGTTTTTAACCATTAAGTTAAAACTAGCAGAGGCTGGGTTTTAGTGTCATACAATTGTATTTCCAAATTCAGGGTTTTAATAAAAAGGAATGCAGAAAGAAAAAAAAAAAGCCAATCCCTGTCCTTTTGTGGCTTGCTTTCCATGCCCAGGGCTGCCAAGTGGCACGGTACCGCTGAGACCAGCCCACTGAGCCCATGCTCTTGCCCAGGGACCCATGTGCCCTCCGGTGGCAGCGGTAACTTTGCTGGGCAGAGCTCCTACTTGCCTCTCCAAAGACCTGGTGCAAAATAAATGAACCCTACCCAAGCTCGTGCTGGGAGACACCCCACTATTGAATTTTGCTGAAAAAGTATTGGGGAAACTCATCTGGTGCTCCAAGGGTGCATCTGCATTAGGACTTTCGCACATTGTTTCTTTTGGGATGGAGCTTCTTTTACAATACTTAAAAATAGCACCTACTGAAAATCTTAACTACTTCGAAATGCATATTGAAATCATTTGCATACTCTGGAGAGCAGGGTTTATACTCAGAATGACATGGTCAGGGAAATGCCATGCTTTGGGTAACAAATGAAGATACCCATTTAGTTCAGCCTATGAGGATGCACTGCGCAGGATGGACACATGGAGCCTTTCACACTCTGCTTTTCAGGCCCGAGGATGGAAACTGTTCTATTTTTCCCTATTTGAAAATCTGAATATGCTATTTTACAATTCTACAGAGAGCAACATTTCAGCCTACACATAAATCCGCCTGGAAATGAAAACTCATAGTTTTGGGGCAAGTTCCTTAAAAATACGGCTGAAATGAGAGAAATAGAACATGGCAGTACTAGTTGTAATAGGTTATTTCATTGTGCCCAAATCCTATTTTATTATTATGCAACTTAATTATTTTTAGGATTTCCTTAAATTTCAGAATATCCAAGGCTTTGCGTTAAACTAATGAAAAGTTTACTGCCCTCCACAGTACCTCATCCTACTCCACTCACACTCTGCAAAGGACAGATGGATGCCAAATATACTAATAAATAATTTCCCGACCTCCCTTCTATCCATTCTCTCATCCTCTACCGCTTGTTTTCCAGTCACAGTATCAACTGTTTTATCCTCAAACTGAAATAAAAGCCCAGAACTCAGCAAGCTTATCTCCTTCTATCTGCTCTTCATCTCTAAATTCATGACACGCTCTGTTTTGCTCTCTTGCCATTTTCTCCCATGCTTTCTTTACACTTTCTCCTGTTTCTTGTGCTCGCTTGAACTCACTCTCACTAAAGCATCTATAACATCTTTGTAGCCACCCCACAGGAACAGCAGTATAACCATGTCCTCTTCAACTGTCAGCAGTCTTCCACAGAACTTCTTTTGCACTCTTGGGCCAGATCGCCTCAAAATAATACAAACCCTATGAGCAATCTCATCCTGATACAATTTGTGCTCTGTACCAGACACATGTCCTGCTCTCCAAACTAAAAGGTTAATCTGTCTCTCTGAAGTCTTTCAGAGAGTATCTAGTTGTCACATCAGACTCAAGATGACTAAAGCTGTTTTTTATCTTCCTCCTAGGGTCTCACCATTACTTATGTTTTCAGTAACTGTACAACCCATAACTTGACAGGCTTCATTCTAGGCTCCTACGGCACCCCTGGGAATAAGAATCAAGTTATTTTTCTCTTCAATATGCTGCTCTTCCTATTTTTCCCAAGCTAAAACCCTTTTCTCCCCCTGCCAGAGTTACTGCAGCAGCCTTTTCCCAAGCACTGACTGGGATAGAAAATGCAATTTTGAGGTATTCAGACCCACAAAAATAAGCTTCCTTGATCATGGCTCTGAACATATGGCCTTTCAGTCCCTCCAATTACCTGACCCTGCCAGACCAGGAAGCAGGAGTGGATGACCTCTCAAAGGCCTTTCCAACACAGCCTAAGTTATCCTGTGACTCCGCTCTTTTTGCATGAACAGGTTGGCCCTCATTCCCCTGGGACTTCCTGGCTATTCCCTATTTCTTACCCCTCATTCAGCCCTGAGAGACTGCCCCTAGCTCCAGTCAGCCAAGAGTGGTAACTTCTGTTATTCACTCTTAGAAGTCTCAATTCAACGTGTTTATACTATTTCCCATACTTTCCTGAGAGTTGGAGCTTCCTAGCAAGCAAGCATAAAGTCATCTCTTACTCCTCTTGTGTTTCTTACAGTTCCTTGCTGTGACATCTACAAAAACCTTGAAAAAAATTTTTTTTTTTTCTTGTGCTCCTGTCTTTTGTCAAAGACTTAAAATGTAAGCAAGCTCTCTAGGAACAGCAATGATTTTTTGTTTGTTAATGAGGAGGATGGAAACTGTTCTATTTTTCCCTATTTGAAAATCTGAATATGCTATTTTACAATTCTACAGAGAGCAACATTTCAGCCTACACATAAATCCGCCTGGAAATGAAAACTCATAGTTTTGGGGCAAGTTCCTTAAAAATACGGCTGAAATGAGAGAAATAGAACATGGCAGTACTAGTTGTAATAGGTTATTTCATTGTGCCCAAATCCTATTTTATTATTATGCAACTTAATTATTTTTAGGATTTCCTTAAATTTCAGAATATCCAAGGCTTTGCGTTAAACTAATGAAAAGTTTACTGCCCTCCACAGTACCTCATCCTACTCCACTCACACTCTGCAAAGGACAGATGGATGCCAAATATACTAATAAATAATTTCCCGACCTCCCTTCTATCCATTCTCTCATCCTCTACCGCTTGTTTTCCAGTCACAGTATCAACTGTTTTATCCTCAAACTGAAATAAAAGCCCAGAACTCAGCAAGCTTATCTCCTTCTATCTGCTCTTCATCTCTAAATTCATGACACGCTCTGTTTTGCTCTCTTGCCATTTTCTCCCATGCTTTCTTTACACTTTCTCCTGTTTCTTGTGCTCGCTTGAACTCACTCTCACTAAAGCATCTATAACATCTTTGTAGCCACCCCACAGGAACAGCAGTATAACCATGTCCTCTTCAACTGTCAGCAGTCTTCCACAGAACTTCTTTTGCACTCTTGGGCCAGATCGCCTCAAAATAATACAAACCCTATGAGCAATCTCATCCTGATACAATTTGTGCTCTGTACCAGACACATGTCCTGCTCTCCAAACTAAAAGGTTAATCTGTCTCTCTGAAGTCTTTCAGAGAGTATCTAGTTGTCACATCAGACTCAAGATGACTAAAGCTGTTTTTTATCTTCCTCCTAGGGTCTCACCATTACTTATGTTTTCAGTAACTGTACAACCCATAACTTGACAGGCTTCATTCTAGGCTCCTACGGCACCCCTGGGAATAAGAATCAAGTTATTTTTCTCTTCAATATGCTGCTCTTCCTATTTTTCCCAAGCTAAAACCCTTTTCTCCCCCTGCCAGAGTTACTGCAGCAGCCTTTTCCCAAGCACTGACTGGGATAGAAAATGCAATTTTGAGGTATTCAGACCCACAAAAATAAGCTTCCTTGATCATGGCTCTGAACATATGGCCTTTCAGTCCCTCCAATTACCTGACCCTGCCAGACCAGGAAGCAGGAGTGGATGACCTCTCAAAGGCCTTTCCAACACAGCCTAAGTTATCCTGTGACTCCGCTCTTTTTGCATGAACAGGTTGGCCCTCATTCCCCTGGGACTTCCTGGCTATTCCCTATTTCTTACCCCTCATTCAGCCCTGAGAGACTGCCCCTAGCTCCAGTCAGCCAAGAGTGGTAACTTCTGTTATTCACTCTTAGAAGTCTCAATTCAACGTGTTTATACTATTTCCCATACTTTCCTGAGAGTTGGAGCTTCCTAGCAAGCAAGCATAAAGTCATCTCTTACTCCTCTTGTGTTTCTTACAGTTCCTTGCTGTGACATCTACAAAAACCTTGAAAAAAATTTTTTTTTTTTCTTGTGCTCCTGTCTTTTGTCAAAGACTTAAAATGTAAGCAAGCTCTCTAGGAACAGCAATGATTTTTTGTTTGTTAATGAGTCTAGCATAAGGGGATCCTGGTCCATGGTTGAAGTTCCTAGACATTACAGTAATACAAATCATAATGCAAAGCAGAGGTTTTACATTTCAAATACTTAATCCTGGAAGTAGTGCATAACACCCAACTATGGGCTACAATGGACTTATCTGGATCACTGTGTTTATTATATGCAACAAAAGTTTGCAGGATAAGCACAGTCTCTCTAACAGCCCTTCTAAGAGCCAGTTTTTATTGCACCCATTCAGTTGTTCATATACAGATGATTAATTTATTGTCTCAGACTTTAAGTAAACCAGATAGATGGTTATATTAAATGTGAGATGAATCAAACCCAACATGCTACACAGCAAAACAAACAAATTTAAAATAATTTCAAATCTCCGTGAAACTTGAGAAAGCCTGGCAATATCTTCAAGCTCCAGAAAGGAAATGATGTACAGGAGCAATGGGACAGGAAGCCGTTCCAGGAAGTCATAGTTACCTCGGCAGAGGCTGAGGACATGTTCCAGAACTTTGGCACCAAACAATACAGCAATCTGAACTGTGGTTAAAAAAAACCCAAAAAACCACAAACCCAAGAGACAACAGATTTGTAAAAGCCCGAAATTTCTTCCCAATAATCCCACATTATTTACACACATCTTAAAAAAAATCAGAAAAGCCAGCTCATTTTTTTTAATGTTTTCTAGAAAAAATAACTTGTTTTATATTGAATATTAGTAATTTATAGTATTGCAATTCATCTTAAGAGTTGCTAGTGACATCCAGGAAGCATGAGCAGTAAAACAAGTTAAAAAACTGTACATTGTCTAGTATACAGTAAAGCCTTGTCCCAGCTGAGGAACATGAAAACAGCAGCAAAGCCAAACTGAAACTTGTCCAGATCCATTTTGTCCACTTTTCCACATAGATATATATTTATTTACATAAAGACCATGCTATTTACTCAGGACAAGTTTAGTAAAAAACCTGAAAAAGTACTTCAGTTGTATGCTTTGGGGAAAATAATGATGGCTCTGACATTAAAAGTCCTTGTAGTTCTGCTTCTTATCTTATGTAGGTACAGTTAAACCACTAAAATGAAATTGAAGAAAGTTATCTTCTACAGTGACATGACATTTTTTGACTCATTCACTTTGTGATCTAGTACAATGCCAAATTCTTTTTCTACAGAACTACTACTTGGTGAGCTATTCCCCATCCTGCATTCATACAGTCAATTAGTTCTGCTTCAGTGTCCAACTTGGAACTTGGCCTTTTGAATTTAACACTGTTTCTTCAGATCATGTACCTATTTTATCAAATTGCTTTAATAAAAATACTAGTTCATTATAAAACAGGATCCTGAATTCAATTTGCTACACTTCTAATAAATGATCAGTGGTAACTTTTGGAGCTGTACGTTGTGTCCTGAGATCTGACAACATGAACGCAGTCACCCAGATTTGTAAAGGACTCCTTATTTTCTTTTTATGCAGGGACACAGGGATCAAAATTTACATTTAAAGCAGAATTACTATCTTTTTGTATTATGAAATTATGCTAACGCATCCAAAGTGGTTTTTGTTGTTGTTGTTTTGGGGATTTTTTGTTTAGGTTTTTTAACCAACTGGAGTCTATCTTCTCATGTATGTTAAAGTCATAAAAAGAGAAACAGAATCATGTAATTTGAAACGATACTGACTACAGGCAGTAAGTGCATCCAATTTTGACGCAGCATTTTCCTTCCAAAATATTTTGTAAAATTAGTTACAAAACTCAAGCTTATGTGAACACATTTGAAAGAGCTTTCCAAATTACAAGATTTCACCGTTAAGATGTTAAGACCTTTTTCTTTTCTTTTGGTTCCAAATATTCCTAAGGTAATTACGTAGAAGGAAGCTATCACCTTATGTTCCTTCATGTCTTTGGGTAGATGGCCCAGTACCGTTCAAGCTTTCTTTTCTGTCACTATACCATACTGCAAGCACAAACAGTTTGCTGTTGGTTCTCATCTGCTTTTTTGCTTTCCAGGCATTTCAGTTCTATATAGTTGGTAATATTCCACAAATTCCTTGTGCAAGTACAAAAATTATCTACACAGTCAACTAAAAATTGTCTGGCTGATCTAATTCAAGCCGATATGTAAGAATGATACAAATCTTCGCATACTAGGAATGATGATGATAATGTTTGTAGTATGTACCTATTTAATGTTGAATGATTAAGCAAGCTACCACATGAATATTTGCTGCTCCTTGAGTGTTTCTTGAAAATTCTTTATTTGTAGAAATAATAATGTGTCCTGGTTTGGCTATTTGAGAACATATTTAGCTGTATTTATCTTGCTTTATAAATGTAACTGCAGCTAATGATGAACTAACTGTGAAAGTATACTGAACTTCAGGTTTTCTGTGAAGTTTTCATCCTATGAGTGCTGGATACTACTTGATGACTTGTACTGTTTGTTCACTCATCCAAAAATGAAAACAGACCTCTCTTCTCTTGCCCTACGCTATCATCAATTAATTTTCCATCTTTGCAAAACCATAATGAAAAGTCTAGCCATATACAAAATCTTGCTTTTCCCTCTTGGCTCTATCAAGATTATGAAAAGAAAGTAATGATACCTTACTTCACCGTCCAAAAAGAATAGAAAACATTTCAACAAACAGATGTTTACAGCTGTATGGTAGTTAAAATAAATTTACTAAAATGTTCATGTTTGTTGTAAGATGTTTATTACAAAATGTTTACTTCTTCAGTTTTCTATTGGATGCCTCAGATGCCTGTATGAGATATTGATAAAATGTTTCATTTGTGGGGGACTATTCCTCCTCTACCCATTAGAAATAACTTAAGCACCTTTTTTTTAAAAAAAAACCAAACAACAACCTAAAAATCTTCAACCATGTGAAAACAGATAAAATTTTAGGAATGAGAACTAGGAGATAACAACAGGAAATACTAATACTTAACAACAGATAAACATTTTGCTGGCAGGGGTGTACCGAATATTTAGCAGCAAACCATGGGTCTAGTGAAGAGTCTTACATTTGAACCCTAATTTGGCAAAAAATTCAATAAGGAAAATAAGGTTATTTTTCCAGTGTGTGTGTATATATCCATCTGGAAAAAAAATATCTGTGAATATTTAAGAGAACAGCAGCAAAGCTCCTCTTAACAGGAGGTGAGAAGGAGGTGTAAAAACATCTGATTAGGTGGAAGAGCAAGAGCCATGGACAGAAATAATATCAGTATAACAATACAACTTCTCACAAACATAGTAATCTGTATTCATAATACTTCTACTTATGTTAGCATTTTTCTGAAAACAAACCACTTACTTTATATTAAAATTTTACTAAAAACCAGAAGGAGAAGTCCATGTATGATTTTAAAGATAATTTTAGAAGGTGGAAAAAATGACTAAATGTTAGGAAAGAATGGCAACTGTGGCTTTCAATGCTTCCTATGGGATAGGAAACCTCCGAACCACCAATATAACACTTCTCAAAAAAAAAGCAGGCAGATCTGATTTGTAACCTTCTGATAAAACACACAGGATAACAGTAGAAAACTGCATGCTAACAATAATTTAACTGTTTGAATCATTGTACCCAGGTAATGTAAACCAGATATTTTATTGTGACATTATATTAATATCAAACGCTACAGAATCTTACAGTGTAAGTAATGAGAAAAAAACCCAAGCTAAAATCCTCACCAATATATATTCAGATATCAAATCTACTTTCATGAGGTAAATAAAAAAAAAATTTGAAAATAAAACTACTAAAACCTCTTGCTAAAGTTCAGCTATAAATTCTATGTAATTATTGGCAAAAAAAAGTACGGAAGACTATTTCTTTGAAAGCTCAAGTTTATAAAAATTGATAATAAATTTTATCAAATTAAAATGTGGTGCAACTCTGCCTCAACTAATGGAGCGATTATAAACACCTACTGCAAAAAAGCACAGCATATTTAAAGCCCCCCTGTGTACTAGCCAAATTCAACAAGCATTCGATTTTCTATTGATTCATGATAGATTCATTCCCCTTCTAATCAAAATGAGTAATAATAACTGTAATTAAAGATTTGTTTTGTTACAGACTGTGAGTGCTGATTGAAACTTTTTCCACTGTTTGTGTGTATATCGAGTCACTTGAGCTCAGAACGTGCAGTTTCCATCAGTGGGGCACTAACAGCAGTCACTTGCAGTCTCCCTACCCAACTGCTTAAGGAAGTATTATTATTTCAATCAAAATCACTTGAAATTGGTCAGTTGCAAAAGTTATAATGGGTATCAGAAACACAAACCTAGACATAGAAATGCAGACCACAGGGCTAACTCTCTTGATTGTGCTGTAGGAAGTGTTAGATTTTAATAAACAAAGCATAAGAAACATGCGTTGGTCTTATTTCAGACCCTAAATGAAGATACACTCAGGTTTACTCTTGAAAACAGGTATATTCTCTTGTGTAAAGTTTTGCCCTCTCCCCTACCACCTGAGATTTCTTCTTATATACTTCTAGGGAAGTAAACCTCCTCTGCCTAGGTGTAAATAAGATTATGTCTACCAATGCTGTTGATGAGGAAAACAGGGCTTCATTTGGAAATTACATCTTTCAAGTTCATCACAAAAATAAGATAAATATGAAGTCACATCTGTACCTAATTTTTTTTATGTCTGTACATAATCAGAATACAAAAGCAGCTTGTTAAAAAGAAAAAAATACCTCACTAGTATAAGGTGTTTGAGTGCTACCTAGTCTCCTGGGCTGCAAAAGCCTCAGACCTCAATCCAGTCCCTAACATATCCCACCATAACAGGTGCAGTTATGAAGTTTTCCATTTTCAGACCAGGTCATAGCTTGGACCTTAGCTACTTGCTGAAGCTGCTGAAATAATGTGACTTTGGCTTAGTATTTTCAGGAGACTGTTTCCTCTGTGAGCCATGACCAACTATATTTTGTGACATGACATCTCTTAAAACTAATCCATTACTGAAAACAGAGATTATAAGAAGATGCAATAACTACTTGGGTCACACAGTCCCATGGGATTCTGGGAAAAAGCATAACTATTTCAGATGTTCTCAGTGGCCAGTCTATCAGGAACAGGCTGGAAAACAGCTCTATAAATCTACATTTTGAGGTTTATTTAATGGTTTCCCCACTGCCTTTCTTTTTCAGGCTGTATACTCCTAAAGTCGTGTGCACTTGTATAATCCCAAGTACCCGTTGCACTTGGTGCTACTTATGTTAAATCAGACTGGGAATCCAGGTGGCTCATGACATGGCAATAAAAACAAATGGACTGGCACAGAGCATTATAAGGACTGAGTTATTAGCAATAAAAATACTGCTTTCAGTCCTATTTTTGTTGCTAATACTTCTGTCATTGTCTTATAATGAAACTATCAATGTTGCTGGGATTCATCCTATATTAACATTTACTGTCACATCTTTTTGTCTTTCCAGTATTCATACATTAATTTATAGTAAGAAATTAATACAAAAAAGCCTGTGAGCCAAAGCAATCACATCTTTCATGAAAGTTATTACAGATCGATATTGATACATTATTTCATTATATGCCACAGCAAATTTGTAATCATTATTGTCATCTTACTGTGAAGAGATGAATCATCTAAAAATTCCTCTTGGGATTCTTTAATTTCTCCAGGTCTTGATTCACGAAATTCATTTCTAAGTGAGATTTTCCACCACCTGAAAATTACCTACAAGTGTGGAAGAAGAAAAAGGAAAAAGGAAGAAGAAATTAATATGGAGTACCATGAGATAAATACATTGCTAAGATTCAGGACTCCTGTTATGTAAATATTATGGCATTCCCAAAGCAAAGTTATCCTAAGAAATCAGACTGCGGTTACATTACCAGCAGCCCTACAATATGCTTTGAAGAACAATAAACCTAGACAAGTGTGAAATTCTTTTACATACCAGGAAAGTGTTCCCAACTCCTGTGTGCAAATTGTTCATAGAAATTAAAACACACTTAATGACATCTCAACTTGCAAAACTATAAATATTCTCTTTTTGGTTTTCATTTAGTTGCAGAAACACAATTCATCAGGCATTAAATTATGTGGTTAAGTAGAAATACCTATTCAACTGCCCAGGCGTTCGAAAGTGGTAGTTAAGCTGTCATTTTAACATTTTGGTAAGATCACAACTAATAGGACAGTTCAAAGCTCAGCACTTAAGGCTGTCTGAAAACTCTGGAAAAAGCTCTCCAGAAGTACACATTCAACTCACATTTTCAGAGTCAGAAAAAGAAAAGAAAGCCTGCATTACAAAGCATGCAACTGAGACAAAATATTAATATGAATAGTAAATTATGTAGCTATGAAATAGTGGAGAACAAGTGGCCCTGGCTATCAGTAATTTTCCCAGAGTTCTCTTAAAACATTACATATGTGCTTGAACAGCATGCCAGCTTTTAATATCAACTTTTGTTTTGTTGCTGTCCCAGTGGGGTCCACAGGAGAGGAAAGTCATAACCATGTCTCTTCCTTCACACAAGTTGTTAGCAAAGATCATGCTCCAAGCCAAAAGTAGGATTCAGTTGCTGTTGTAAGGAAGGTTAAAAAAAACCCATCTTGTAATCTTACTAATAGTAATCTGGTTTATTCCCTTCCATTTGATTGAGAAAAGTGAGGATTTTACATTGTACAGGTACATTTACATGTACAGGTGGATTCCTGACAGCACTGAACGATAAAACTGGCAAATAAGAATATTAGTGATGTGTACATTTATAAGCACACACACGTGTATATAAAAAATACACTCCATAGAGTCTTATTTTTCTACTGGCATTTAGAAAAGGAAAATTAAAAGCAAGCCTTTCAATAAGTCACAGAAGAATACTCACATATACTGACTGAAGAACACAGAGTTAAATTTACTATTACAAATCTTAGATCTGACAGCAGTGCTTTACATCTCTGAACATGAAATTTAACTTTAGATGTCCAGCATTTCAGTGTCAAAATGTAGCTTTTAAAGTTGAGAAGAATTAAGTATTTGTAACTCCCAATGAGTTGCATTCACTTTCATAATTAATTTTCAAATTAAAGCTCAGATTCCAGACAAGCTGCCAAGGCAGGCCCACACCAATCATTTCTGTATTTTTCAAGTCTTGCTTGTATCCTGTTGATATCTCATATACAGAAACAGTAAATAAATTTGAATAAAAGCTTAACATCTACATTTGAATGTCAAATATAGCCAGCTAATATTTATCATTTTGATGTTTATTGTGGTTAGTATATCATTATAGGGGGTAATCAGAATTACAAAATCATATTTCTGATAGCATACATACAAAATAGCTTTGATTAACTCAGACATATCTGCAACACTCTATAAAATAACCCCTATTATGTGAATAAAAGAAAAAAACATCCTACTCAGTTGCGTAAGTTCATCCTATTTTACCATGACACACGTTTATTCCTCTGCAGTGAAACAGTTGCCTCTTGGAAGGGCAAAAAACCCCATTCATCCAATCTGCATTCTAGAATTTAATATATGAAAAATAAATTACACCACTGAAACATTTTATAAGAGCAGAGTTAACATTTCTGTAATGTACATACACAGTACAGACCACCACATTGCTAAAATACCACCACTTAACGTACTAGTGGTAATATGAGGATTCAATGCAAAAGAGATTATAAACCACTTGTCATTCTGTTTCAGTGATGATCTTACTACATGGGAAGGCTTTAGAAGTAGTACGTTTGTTGCCCACCACGGGGATAATTCAGGACAGTGAACGCTGTACTGTACTGCACTTCCAAAAGCTCTTTTTATCTCTAGCAATGTAGGGAGAAACAGCATGTAAGGCTAATTCCATTCTGATTTGTGGAAAACAGGAGGTGAGAATAAGGTCAAAACAAAACTGATATGCAAATGGAGAAAGAAAAGACATCTTTCTACATGTTCCTCAGCTTGCATACCCTTCAAAATAGGGGGGGGGGGGGAAATCAATGTTACAGGAGAAAAGAAACCTCTCTTAGCCTTTTCATGTTGGGAGTGACATTACCTAATAAAAAAAACCAAACCAAAACCAAGCCAACAAACCCCTCCATTTCTCGGCACAGAAATGCCAAGGGTAACTGAAAAAGAAAATAGCCACATGCCCCCAAAAACACTTACCAAAAATTATTAACGATGACTGTTGCTTTTCAACTTTGGAACTTTAATACCTACCAACATTCTTCAGATTAATTTTCTGTATATCCTTACCGATTTAACTATACACAAATTTAGAAGTCTAATTCTCAAAAAAGCAGAACTATGTTGCACAACAGATTATAATGTGTTGTGATCTGTTATAACATATATTAACATATACTTTTCAGTCTGGGATATACAGTACAATAAAATTAAGTGTATACAGATAGCAGATGCATGCCCAAATTCTGCACTGGTGTAAGAAAGATGAACTTTTCACAGCAAGCATTCTATATACTTTTTGTTTAGTATTTTGTGGGTATGAGGGCATTTATCTATAATACAAGTTTATGTATACACAGGTGTACAAGAACATACTTAATCCAAACACTAGAGTGTGCATATGTGTGTATAGAGTCCTGAATAAGATTTTATCTTTATACAATCCAACCAACCCTGAAATGGAACATAAATCAATACTCTACAAATGAAATACCTCTGTCCTATTTTTAAAGCAGTTACAGTAGATGTTTTAACAGTTATAAAAAATCAGTTTCTTGTAGTATTGTTGTACAATTATAAACTCCAAAGCATTTTAATACTAACTGAAACATGTCAAAACTTAAAAAAAAAAATTACAGAAATACGTATTTCAATAATCTCTCCTCTTCTTAATTGTTATACTAGGAAGCACACAGCAACAGAACTATCTGCCAGAACAGAAAGATCAGGCCAACACACAGAGGCACAGGAAAAGTCAAATATTCAAGTAATTGTATTAAAAGCCACTGGATTTTCTAAACATTATTCTTTCATTTACAGTGGAACAAACTGTCAATAGCACTATTCCATTTAAAGACTTCCTTATGTACAAATACCCAGAACAAACTACGGGTAACTTTTTAGCGCATGGTTATTTCAAAGAAAAATATTGCATAGATTTTGTAATACCTATACTTTTTGCACAGATTAAAAAGATGAAGAATGGAAAGTATTATAAGTGCAACCTGGTTATCGTGGACACATTTCATTCTCGACATTATTTGAAGATGCAAATGTTAAAGCAATTCACTATCACATTGCTTACTCCACTGGCATTTCTTCATTAAAAAAAAAAAAAAAAAAGCAGAAAGGATGAGCAGAACCAAATCTAAACAGCAGCAACCAGCTGCAGCTTCAGATAAAAAGTCAGCAATTTTTTAAACAAATAAAACAACAAAACTATTCATGTGAAAATCATTTAACATAAACAAATTATTTAGGAAATATCTATTGTAAAATTTAACCTGGACTGTAGATTACCAGAAGCATAGCACTATTTACATTGTATGAAGAAAATAATAGTTGAAGTTTGTCATATGGCAATCCATCTTTTAAGGATGTTGGGCTCAACCTTTCCTTAATTTAATCTATTTCAGCAGGTATAGAACTAGAGACAAGTGTCACATGACAGACTCATATTGTATTATGAGAAACCTCTGGGGGAAGCTGAAAAAAGACGGTGTGAATTGTGAAGCCCTGTTATAAGGGCACATATGAGAAACTTTCCTTCTTCAATGTACATTTTTAGCATTTCAAAATTCTCCAGACTCAGCCTTCTGCTTTGTTTAAAACTAATAAATCAAAATACAATTTCTCAGATTACAGGGTATTTGGAGATTAGTTTTCTCTATTTTTCTCTTAAATTGTTCTACTTTAAATAGTTTAACATTCATTTGAGGAGGAAGGTGACTCCAGAATCTAGAAAATAGCACTTGCTGAGATTTAGGAGATAAGATTCAAATATTTTCCTCTGTCCCAGGTGAATGGCCTAAATCCCCAGTCTTTCTTTTTGGCCTTGGATTTGTCACTGCAGTCCAAACTCTCACTCCCCTGTGCAGTGAAGGAGTCATTGTGTCTTCTACTGAAAAAAGCAGTCGCATTCTCAGTTAGTCTTAGTGACTTTACTGAATCTCTTCTCCTCGGCTCTTTTATCCCATATTCTATTACTTCTCCACAGATTTATTATATATATATGCTTTTGGCTGGGTTTTGTGGGCTGGAGCAGACTATAAAAATTTATGTTGCATTACTATCTGATTTCAAAATTAGAGTATTCAAATGCTTCTGTCCCTCATTTTATCTCATTTTCTCTTGCAGAACACTGTTGCATTTTTGCTACAAATTCAAATAAATCTATTTTTTGAAAGCATTCATTTTTCATGCACCTCAGTATAGAAACCACCTATTTCACCCTCACATAAATCTTTACAAAACAGAAGTGTAACGGATATCAGCATTACTGAAACATCTTCAAGAAGATAACTACAAGATAGATGTTTCTAAAACGATGATTTGTATACCTAAAGTATCTTTCAGTTAACTGATTGCTTGAAGCCAGTATCAGCTAATCTGTTGCCTAAGAGTTTGTAAACCTAAGCTCAATTTCCAAGCCATGAAGAAGTCAAATGCCTTCACTAGGTATAGGTTTGTTTGGGTTTTTTTAAATTCTGAAATTAATTAGCACAGTGAAAACTACCAGCTTACCTGCTTCCTTCGTCTTTCCAGACCCTGGTAGTGTAGATGCAATTTTACTTATGAAAAAACACTCCTCCTGTCACAGCTTTTTCTATTCTTACTCTAACATAGCCACATCTAATTGAGAGGCTGATACTACAGTACTGTAAAGTTTTTCATGCAGTTGCAGCTACATCAACACTACAGCTTTGACTGCATAAGTAATAAAGGAAAATTTAAACAGGACAATAGAAATCTTATACAAAGCTATGCTCATTTTGCAAGTGAATGAAGATTAGGCTTCTAGGTCACTTTAAAAAATGCATAATAGGTACCTTAAAATTTTACTCACTTTTCACCAAGAAGACGCAGCCATGTATTATATCTAAACTATGGAACCAAGTAGCACCAACAATGCACAGGTATTTGCAAAAGACCGAAAATAAAATCTTAGATAATAAAGAGTTAGAGTGAGGCTATCCTTATGCACTGATACTGATGCAATGGAAGCAAACACTATTTTGATCCCTGCAGGATAAACTGTTGAAGAAGAGTAACACACATGGGCAATTGTTTCATGTAAAGTTATTAACTGCATACAGTGATTATCTTAAAAGCAAGAACACAGATGTTGTGGAACTGAAGAATCTATCTCACAAGATGCTGTGAAACAGTTAAAGAAATTGATGGCTACAGAGATGACATTTAACAACTATTACCAAATATTCATACCATGATCATGGCAGAGTTACTATGTAACTTTTTTCCTAATAATTTCCTCACTGTCTCTACCAAAATGAAAATGGCAGTGTCTCATCAGTCAGTTACTGATGGCTACGCAAAAATCTTGCAAAAATTAAGAAGGTCTTTCATATCCATTGCTTGCAGTAAGTTTTTTTTGTAGCAGGACCTAAGCCCTGCAATCAGAGAGGCCTCTTGCCAGTTTTATGAAATGCCATCAGCATTTCAATCTGTGAACACTGAGGTTTCTCTTTTGTGGCCTACTACTTGATTTTTTCAGAGCCTTGCTATCATGTTGTCTGGAGCTTTCTGGCAGGTATGATCACCTGAGGACACTTACCAGAAAATCCAAACTTTTGCTCAACCATGCTTCTATAATATGTAGGGATATATATGGATATGTATGTAAATGCTCAGCTGGCTATTTCAGTCCTTTGTAAATATAAAAAATATGGATAAGAGCGGGCAGAGCATGAGGATGGATGGCCTACTGTACACCATTATTACCTCACAACATTTAGCTTGACCTAGAGCGTAAAAAGAAAGATTCACAAGGAATTCACTGCCCATGAGGAAAAATAGTTATTTCCAGCTTCCTTATTCCATGTAAGAGTGAAATTTAAAAAAAAAAAAAAACCAAAACCCAAGCAAAACTCTCAATATATATTTTTAAGTCTGCCTTATTCTGGAGATGCTGGATTTCTGTAATAAACATCAGAACTGAAAAGCAGTCGTAATCACTCAGTGCTATTGAAGATGGATACCTTCCATTTTTATCTTCCAAGCAACAACAGAAAAACATCTTGATTTTATAATTGGGCTGCAAGATCATAAATATGAATAGCTTAATAGAAGACAAAATGCTCCAAAGCTAATGCTAAAATATTTATCTAAACACTTTAGATAAAGTGAAAAATGCTCTTTGCGCTATACTATTAGGTCCACATCATACAACTTCACCAGTACTATCCTAAAAGTGATTAATGCTCATATGTGATTAAATAGTTTGTTCATTTACCAATGAAAAACAGAATAATAGAAGACTCCTTATAACACACTGTGGTTTTAGATCCATCTCCTTAGCCTGATCATTTTGCAATTACAGAGTTTAAAAAATGAATTATGTTTTAATGGACATACTGGTGAGTCTTGTAAGATATTAAGAGGAAAAACAACACTGCATGAGACAGTTAGAAGGACACTATTAAGAAGAGTAAATCAATACAGTAATATTTAACTCTGCTTTTCCCAATGGATATTGCTGTGAAAATAGTTGTAACTGAAGGGGATAAAATACAATAAGTTAAACAACCTAACCAGCAAGACCACTCTCCCTCCTAATTACACTACATCAACAGAAAGACTTAATACATTCACCAATTAAAGCAAGTCTCCAGCTGTGCTAAGCTAGTGAGCAGGCAAGCTTTTATTGCTGCTATACAGTCACTTCCTACATACTCTTTTACTTTCTGACTGGCTACTCAGGGACAATGTCCCACCCATCCTCTGACTAATTAAGTAGTATCAGTACAGTTATTTCTTCTTCTTGATATACTGCAATTCAAACGTAATAAAACTCTTCAGATTATTGAAGTATATAGGATACATCTGAGTTAAAGGTAGACCATTTATAATGCACTTAAGACCTACTTAAATTACTTCTAGCGTAAATCTCAAGGCAGTGAGGAAAAGCCACATAATGCTGTTAGGGTACAACACATGTATGAACTGCAGACCTGCACATTACTTTGGAAAGATCTAGGAAGTAATAATGCTTCTCTAGCCTTTATAAGTTGCAGAACATAACAAAGCAGCTGTGCTACTTCCATTGCAACTGTTTTCTTTAACAAACATCCAGTAGTCTTAATTACAAACTCCACAAACTATTTCATAACCATTACAATGTATAGCACATTTCCTACCATCTTGGAGAAAGATGGATTCAGGAAGGGTTGTGTGATTTGAAGTTTTTAATCATATAGAGAGACAGAAGTACAGAAAACAGAATTGATTGTTATGATTGCTTTGACCTTTTTTCCTCTTTTTTTTTTTTTTTTCAAATAAAGCTTTTATTTTTCTGCTTGATTTTGAACATTTGCAATTAAATGCTTTGCCAAAGAATATAGATTATTTTGAGAGTCTTGATTTGGTTAATATGCAAAAATATGAACAGTGTTCACCAGCAAATGCAGCCTGGCAGAACGAACTACACTGGTTTCAAGGGGGTGGGTGTGTGTGGGGGCGGGTGGGTGTGTGTGAAGTAATACTTGTGTACCTCAAAATTGCTGGCAGGTTTTGACCCGCTCCATTGGATAAGAAGGTAAAATGGAATATCAACAGGTTGCAGTTAATGAAGCCTTCATTTATTATGGGTTCCCAGAAGTCTTTGAAGGAAAACTTTCTAGGAATAAGAAGAAAAAATGAACCACATCTGGTTGCAAGAGTTCACCAAACTGATATTAAACTAAACCCATACACTGATGCCATTCCACGTTTCAGGCATGCACAATATGAAATCAAATAGATACTACTTGCTGCCTGTTAAGTTTGTGAAATTGGATGCTTTTTGCTCTTCTTCTGGCAAATTATTACCTTTTTTTTTTTTTTTCTCAAATTTAAAGTAGAGCTTACAACACCCATGCTTCATCTGACAATTGCTACAAAATTCTATGTTTGCTTTTGCTATAGTACAGGAAGTTATACAAATTAGTATGTTGTCTACACTGATAGAATCACATCCGTACAGGATAGCAGTTTCCTTCTCATGTGCACTCATGAGAAGAGAAGGAAAAAAAAAGAACCCCAAAATCAGGGGGCTCTGGCATCTACTAGACATAGTCCATTTTTCAATCTTTCTTTGGGATGGCCATTTCAGATCAACCGAAGTGCAAAACCTAGTATGCTGTGCTAAAGAAACTGTTTGACAAGAAAAAAACAAGTTCTCAGACCATCAGGTTGAAATTTTGGACAACAGTGTGTACTTGAAAGTTTATACAGATTCTTCTCAGTATCACAATAGTCATCATGCACGCCCACACACTTCCCTCCCCTATGTCTGCTTTGGCTTTGGAGAAAAAAAAAGTTACTATTAATAGCGAGAAAAGATAAAACAATTTAGTTAGGAAACAAAAATAAAACAGTGACTGCAGTAGAGTACAACTGTAAAGACAACGGCATATGGAAAGAAAGATGATTTCCTGGTGTCAATGCAAACTGTTTCGTGAGTTGCTATTAACAAATATTTCAAGTGCATGGAGGAAAAAAAGAAACGTCACAATTCCAAAATTTAATATGTAGCAACTATGAAGCTGTTCCATTTTATTCCACTTCACTCATAGTCAGAAACATCAACCCACCTCAGCTAAGGGATTAGCTCTGCATGCGTGTGTGTGTGCATGACTACCAAAGGCTTCCACTTAAAGTATCTGAAAAACATTTTCGTAAAATACAGGAGGAAGATGGAATAAAAAGCTTGGAAAAAATAACTGTCTTTCCTTTGCGGAATGTGGTAATTATGTTTGAGCAAGAAATCTGCTCCCTTGACATGGTCTCTTCCCTTCCAGTTACATACCTGGTTTATTCCTATATTAGTATCTTTCCTCATTGGTTTGCCCAGAGCTTGCAGGAAAAAAATACAAATAACAAGGCAAGAAAATAAGCCAAAAAAAAAGAGCTAAAGATCTTTATCACAGATGCTTACAACACAGGTGCTTTGGAGGCTAACTTCTACCTAGACATGTGCACACAGATCAGAGGAAACAATATAAGAGCAGAAGAGTGAGAGACAATGCAGAAGGGGGTGGGGGGCATGTGCTGAGAGGAAAGCAACACTATCAGAGGGAATAAAAAATTACTCTTGAGGATCAGAGTCTTCAATTATGAGCATGATACTTGCCATTTATTAACGTGATTAAACATGCAGACCTAGATAAGACTGCCACAAAGAGATTATTCCACTATTTAACAGAACAAAGGATGCTAGTTAAGTGCAAGACATAACATTGCTCTCTTGATGAGTAAGAAATTGACAGGTTTCATTTGAAACCATTTCTTTTAGTTTCATCCTCCTTACTTCAGTTTCAAGGTCTAGGCTATGTCAGAGGGTTCTGATTGGCAGGGCAGAGTCCAGTAGCTAGCGGAGTTCCCCAGGGATTAGTACTTGGCCCAGCCCATTTCTTTTAGTTTCATCCTCCTTACTTCAGTTTCAAGGTCTAGGCTATGCTTTAAGTTTTTTTTTTTTTCTTTCCTTCATTGGAGTAATAAAACCTCAAACAACAGAACAGTCAGACTCCCTGCTATGTGTATAAAAGTCCTAAAGTACAGCAGTGTTACAATGGAAAGTCCTTTTCTAGGGAACCTGCATCTCCTTTAGCAGGGTATGTGCATATATCTGGCAACCCTTTTTATTACAGATGAAGTCTTAGTTCAATCATATCACTGCTCCCTTCTTGTCTACTTCTTATCATCCAGGTATATCTGCAACCAGTCTAATCTAATACCTGCTGAAAACTGTTTTCCTATACTTTTATTTGGTCAGCTCACTTTCAGCACTGGTATCTCTTACCCTAAATTTTGAGAAACATCTGTTGCGCTGGCCCCTAAAACCTCATCACACTTTTTAAGAACACTGAAGAATCCATCGTGTTGTGCAGGCATTCTGATATACTTGGTTCCTACCCGTGTCTCTGGTTTTCAGAAAAAGCTGTGGTGACAAGTATGCCCTTTTTCTCTATCAGTTATCAACTCAGTACTACAGGTAGCATGCCCTGAAAAGTTTTTTTTCTTTCTGTTTCTTCAAACACTACTTTTGTCCAGTGCGATTTTAATTACTTGTTTTACATTAACTTAACACTTCTTACCTGTAAGTTACAGTCTCGCTGCAGACTATATAGGCAGGAACAACTGCACAGTTCAGCTGTAACACCAGCTTAGTGAATGCGGAAATCTATCCTCTCATTATCAGCTGTCATGATAATTTCATGTGCCTGTATATTAAAGACATACATTGCATTTTTTGTCACAACTATCTGCTTGCTCTTTTGATGCTTTCCAGCTACACAGCTGCTCTTGCCTGCAATCCCCCTCTGTTGTCATTCCTTTCACTCTATTGTTCACTATCATCCTATAAGGTTATTTAGAACTCTAGCTTCAGATGCTCTCCTAGGCTTCTGCTTCTACAATATAATTTTGCCTTTTTTGACAAATGATTTGGATCATTTTACTGTCCACTAGCATTCTTTCTTCTAGTTACTACGCTTCTCCAGATAATTTGTCTAATTCATGTTTCATCCAACAAATAACATTTACACTGTCACCCAGTGCACAATTTTAATCTAATTTAGTGAAGTCCATTCAAAAGCTGCAGGCACTTTTACTTTGGTTTAATTTAGGCTTATTTCAGTTTAACACAAAATGATTTTGTTTATACCCAATCAAAATCAAGTCAGTCTTTACAATAAGCATCCATAGAGCAGTTTAGAACAGCTCTAGCAACTTTGTTTAAAAACAAATCTTAAATTACACTGGTGCATCTTTAGATAAGACCTTTCATAGCCTAGCACACCTTGAATAAAAATCCTGATCCTTTTCTAGCTTTGCCTTCTACTGTTCTTTCCTTCTTCCTTCCCTTGAACACATTACTGAATGCATTTAATTGATTTTTTGATAAATGAACAAAGTATAAATATGTGGTACACCTAGTCAAGTAAACATATCTGATGGTTCTTCATGATGAATACTGCTGTGTACGTGGAAAATTAAATAACAAAAATTGCTCTTGGTTAATAAACGCAACAAAAAAGAAGAAATAATTATTTTCCTAACCTGAAGCAGGAAGAAGGGAAACAAGACAATAGATAGGAACACAAACTTACCTTTGGTAACAAAAGTAGAATTACTCCTGAGGTTTCCCAAGACAAAGAGCAACAGGGATGAGGGCTGTACTACCTAAAGTAAGGCAAGTGAAGAATATAACTAAATCTTTCTCTGGAAGAACAAGCACTGACAATAATGAATATGTAAACAACAGACACTCAGGTACAGTAGGAAACATTTACTTAATGAAGCAGAAGATAGTGGTGATTGCTTACCTTCAGAAACTATTACACCTTCATGACCTGAAAATCATTCTTGGCAGGTAGAACTAGATTGAGCATGATGCTTTTGAAGAAAGCCACAAATATTACAGCCCTGTGTAAAACTTAAAATGGGAGCTTAAACATTGCAATTCAATGTGATACTGCTGTCTGTATACTAAAGACTAATTACAAGTGGACAAAACCCAGACTAGACAAAAGAAAAAAACCTCATCTCTAGGCTACCAGTGATACAGAAAACCACATCAATAGCAAATAATAGTAACAGAGAATTAACTAAAATAACTTTATTACCTTTATCATACCCTAATTGAAATTGGTGTAGCAATATTCCAATTCATCTTCAAATAACAGCTCAATCCCTATTGAAAAATGAATTTTATAAGCCTACATGACAGGCTTATAAATCTTAGGCTCACAAACAACTGAACTTCACATGTAATAACCACTTAAGGACTCAATATCAGTTATAACTCTACTATCAAATTCATAAATGAATGTTTCACAGGGTTAAGCATTTAGTAATGTTTGTGGGAAAAAACGCAAAACAACAACCCAAACCCCAAGCAAATCAAGTCTTTTGGGGAGGAAAAAACCACCACTTATGTTGCTGCATGTGGTGCCTTTTGCAGAGAAACCTCGATCCACCAATAAGGAAAGCTCTGAAATGCCAACATTGCTACTGAACACATCACAAATTGCATTTCAGTTGTTAAAAAGTCTAAATTCACCTACATCAGTTGCGTTCTTGTGCTGGATTACATCTTCAATATGGCAGCATGACCAAAGAATTCCCGAATCTTCCCAAAATCCTTATGGATAAGATCTAGCAACTGCATACACCCAGAGGTGGTACATTATGGAAGAAGTGAGAGATAATATCAGGTACCCAAACTATAACACATCACAACATTGCTAAAACAACATATTTTAGCTTTGGTCAGAAACACCTGACAAAAATATTCATGTTTTTCCAATACAGCATTATTTCCCCAGAGAAACTGTTTCCATTTTCCAACCAGCTCTACTATTTACTTAGATATCTGAATTAGAGACAGCGAAAAAGCAAAGGAGATTTCCCTGTGTATTTTAGGCTTAACAAACATTCTCCTGTTAATAATTGCTTAATACTAGGTGATACCATTACTATGAAAGTGTTCAATTATTTTGGAAATATACCTTTTCAGCATAACAGAGCATTTCCTGAGCTGGAACAAAATGGCTTCCTTCTCCTAAAGTCATCAAACTATGCTTGAAATTATTTTAATTTAATATAACAACAACAAATTGCTAGTTTTATGCAATTAAAGTCTGTTATGCAAATAGATCATAACAAAACTATCGGGTTTTAAACCCTCTTTAGAGAAAGTTATGAGTTCTTTTTGTTTGGTAAGAACTCAAATTCTCTGTTTGAAATGTCAAAGAAGAGACTTGAATAGAATTGATCCAGCAACACAATAACTGGTATGGCATCCTTCAGGTTTCAAATGCAAATAAAATAGTATGACTTTGAAAAAAGTTCATCTCCCACAGATCTTTACTTGAAATCAGACTTATCTTGCAAAAAATTGTTTCATATAACAGAAAATTAATTTCAGCTTAATTACTATAACAACATCTGGGTTTTTTCCCCAATCCATCTGGCTTAAGCACTTCAAATGGTATCTTCTGTCAGTCAAATAGGTTATATATCTAGTGTCATCATTAAGACTTCAAAATAAGCCCAACATACAAAGACAACACTTAGTTAACTTTATAGTACCATTTTTCAAAATGGAAGACCTATCCTTGCAGGTTTCAGTAGAGCCTGAAGGTACTCACAACTGAAAAACAACCAGCTCACAACTAGTAAAACAATCACCTATTACTGTCTCCTAAAATTGAAATGTTATTGACAATGTAAGATTTAGGTGCTGTAAGTTCAGAATTTTTACTTACAACTACAAAGGTCAGAAAACAACTTTATTTTTTAAATGAAAACAATTAATTACAGGATCTTTTAAGAAAATACTGTAGCTCTTGGTATGCAAAATAATATGCTGTGCTCAGAATATATTGAATTAATCAGAAACTGATTGAAGATGTAGAAGCAAACACTAAACAACAGGAGTAACGACGGATAAAGAACCAGAACAGTCATCAGAACTGTTTGCCTTGTTACATAGACTATTTGCTTATCTAAATGCCCTGTATATATTTGTTAGAGAACCTAGCTGCTGATCTCTGACCAAACACACAATTTTGCTGTTACATATTTGATAAAATTTAGTTATCCTGACTGTTAGATGAGAAGATCATATATGGAATACTGCACAGAACG